CTCCCCGGGCGCGTCGTGCTCGCTCTCCTCCAGCCACTTGTTCACAGACATGAAGGATTGGAGCGGCATGCCATTGGCCGCGTACAGCTGCCCGCTGCTGCCAGCGCGCACGCCCGCGCCGACGTGCGCGGGCAGGGAGTGCGCGCTTGTCGCCGCCGCCAGCGTCCGCACGTCCAGCCCCACGTGCTCCGACGCGCCGCCGCCGCGCTGCACGCCGCCCGCGCTCCCGGGCCGGCTGCCCAGCGCCGCCGCGGCGCTGCCCGCGCGAGAGAGCTGCCCGAGCGCGGCCGCGGCCGCTGCCGCGGGCGCGACGCCCCCCGATGCGGAACCGACCCTGGAGCCAGGGCGCGCGGCGTCCTGGTCCCCCTCTCCTTGGTCCAGGTCCGGCCTTGCAACCACCGTGCCCGCAGGCCGCGCCGCAGCCTTCTCCAGCGCCCGCACGACCGACGCCCGCAGGCCCCCCGCTGCGCCGCCCGCATCGCCGCCGCCGCCGCCGCCGCTGCCGCCGCCCTTGCCTCGCAGCAGGTCGGCGGCAAAGGCCGCGAGGTCGCGCGCGGTCACCTTGCCGTCCCCGTCGCCGTCGAGCAGCTGCAGCAGCGCGCCGCGTCGCAGGCCGGGCAGCAGCGACAGCAGGAACGCAACAATCGCGCCCACGTTCAGGATGATCACCAGCGCGGTGACCGCGTCCGCGGCGCCGGCGAGCGCGAAGGCGCCGCCCTGCTGCGCGAACGCGCTTCCAAGGTAGACGGTCCCCTGCACGGCGCCGAGCACCACAAACTGCAGCGCGAGCAGCGCCCACGTCGAGTAGGGGCGCGCGACCCACTCCGCCACGAGGAACGCCGCGAGGACGCCCCACAGCGCGTACGCCTGCGCGAGCGCGGTGGCGGGCGCCATGGCCGCGAGCAGCGCGAGCAGCGCGAAGCGCCGGCCCTCCGCGACGACCGCCCACTGGTAGCGCCGCGGTCGCAGGTACCCCGCGCCGACACCTAGCGCCTGCTGGCAGTGAACCAGCCCCCGCCGCCGCCGCCGCCGCGGCTGCGCCGGCGCGGCCGTGTCCGCGCGGCGCCGCAGGCGGTCGCGGCAGTGGCGAAGCAGCGCGGCCAGCAGCGCCAGCCAGCCGGCGCCGACAGCGACGAGCACCGGCAGGCCAAAGCCGAGTGCGAGGCCCAGGTGCGGCCCGTGCCAGCAGCGCACGCCGGTGTCGAGCGCCCAGTACGCGCCACGCGCGAGCGCAGCCTGCCCCGGCGGCGCGGGGCCGTCGAGCGGCACGCACTGCAGCGTGGAGAGCGCCGACCACGTCAGCAGGGGGTAGTACAGCCCGGCCGTCGCCATAAGCACGATCAACGGCTTGGCGCCGACCCGCGGCACCTCAACGCGCATGCTGGCGGCCCACGCGGCGAACGCCAACCCCACATAGACCAGGGCCGGCAGCGCCACAGCGAGCAGCGCCGCCATCGAGCGCGGCAGCCACGCGCGATCCGCGAGCGCGCAGTCGAGCGGCACCCAGCGGCTGGTGCCGAGCGGCGTCAGCGACAGCGCAGCGTTGAAGCGCTGCAGCGCCCTGGGCCAGGTGTAAACCATCCCGCTCGCGCCGAGGATCGAAGTGAGGTGGAAGAGGTCCAGCAGCACGTCCACATGCGCGAGCAGCGGCGGCTCGGGCC